CGTAGCCTGCGCCTTCCATTTGAAGGCATGTCCTCCTTAAACGGGTGGCTGCTGTAAGCAAGAGTGAACCAGTTAGCCTGATATTGTGCACCAAAATAGTGCTTGATGTGGTATCCACAGAAATTCCAGGTTTTATATTAGGTAATAAACTGGCAAGGAGTTGAATTGTGACTGGCCTTGGGGTGGTTATGTAAAGTTCTAGCTATGAACCGACTTGATTTGCTCAAAGGAAAAATATGCAAAGCTTGTTTATGATCTTTTTTTCACCCTCCTTTCTTTTCTAACTTCTCGCAATCATAGGGCACACAGTTGATTTTCAGTGCTGCTAAGGAGCTGGGACACTTGTCAAAGCTGAAGGTATTGTTCTGCATGGCTTGTGTTAACGTCCGTGTGTGTAAGTGTGGAAGTTTAGTAGCATGTAGCATGTCCTGTGCTTCCAGTGGTTTGTTGCTGAATGCAGTCATAGAGAAATGCCTTTAAATGCATTACATGTGCATTTAAATGCATTCTGCTAACATTAGTATTGTGTTAAACTGTTAAATTTTATTGTGAGTTTAATTACCCAAGTATTTTCTTCTGTAGCTACAGTATTCGGCATATATCGATTTAAAATTAAAAAGGCAGAGTTCATAGAATCACCGGATGGTTTCTGTTGGAAGGGACCTTAAAGCTCATTCAGTTCCAAACCCCTGCCACAGGCAGGGACACCTTCCACTAGAGCAGGTTGCTCCAGACGCCATCCAGCTTGGCCTTGAACACTTAATATCAAAGTTATCTGGCCAGTTCTTCTGTATCATCTCCATGTAGGAGATAAAAGGGAGTCCCTTATGTGATCCCAGTAATGAGAAACTGGTCAGAAAGATGATTGTGCTAGCTATTAATGAATTATATGAACTGTTACAAAAATAGCTGTTGCTTATGGAAGCGAGCCCGTGTCTGTAAATTCCTTCTGCGTGGGCTGTCTTTGCAGGCAAGCTGGCAATTAGCATGAAGGCTATGTTGATGTGTTCTGACAATGCATGACGTGACAGTGCATGACATGAGCATTACTAAGTGCATGCCACCTCATCTAACCTAATCAAGCATTAATTCATTGGTCACAAAGGGAATGGTATGAAAACAGTGACACCTTACAGCATTCAGATTGCACCGCGTTGTGGTTTGACTTGTGCTACACAGCAGATATTGTGCAAGGGGAGCACTAAATCTGAAGTGTCACAGGGCACAAACTGTGCAAAGTGCTGCAAGGAATACTGAGCTGAATGTGAACTCTGTCTCAGAGTGTGATCAGGGAAATCTTCCCACAGCAAAGGGCATTCTCCAAAGCGATTAGTGCAATTTCAAAATGCATTCATCTTCTCCCATAATTATTTTTTTTTGTCTTGTGCACTTATTACAGCTGTCTGTATAGGACTTCCTATTTCCCTTGCCCAGCAGCCATACATCACATGCATGTTTATGAGCCAGGACAGCGCATAACTCATTTTAGTGCTTATTAGCAATCCTAGTAAGTGATCTGGGCATGCAGGTGTGTCATTAGATGCACACAATCATTTTCTCCAGCTGCATTTTGAGGCTGTTATGTAGCAGCTAACACTGACATGAGGCAAACCTTCCAGTATGGTTCCCCAGGGGAATAGCTGTCACTTGTGCTGGGGGCAGCCCCATGCACTCCCACTGCCAGGCTGTCCTAACTGGTGACTCCCAAGGATTTCACTACCTCCACCATTTCCTGTGCTTGCAATGTTCTGTGTCGTTTGCATGGAAGGAATGGGGAGCAAGGAGCTGTGCAGCCAGCCTGGGAGAGTGGGAGCTGGACCACAGCCTCCAAACATGACTCCCTTTTCCTGTAAGTACCTGCATCCCCTTTAAAAAAAATCAGCAAGAATCCAGCATTTGGGGAAGGAGAAGCCATCCATACCTTCTGTGTGCACACCTCATGTCAAAGGGAGAGAGCTCTGAATTTGCTCCGTTTCCTCTGGGTTACAAGCACAAGTTTGTGCACAGATTACAAGTTCCTGTGGCTTGCTTGCATTCTTGGGCATAGCCAATGACATTCACCGTTATCTTTTACTTCTAATGTATTTTCTCATTACTGGAATTTCTTAACATGTAAAAGGTTCCTTTTGCCAGGAATGAGTTGGAAGCTTTGTGGGTTTGCATTTGCATTGGTCATGAAGGCCATCCCTCAGCAGCACCTTGTCTTCAGTTACTATAAAGCTCAGCTTCAATAACTCTGCACTGCATTATTAGAAATGCACATAATCATGCAAATCAGGCAAGCCCTGGTGTGTGTTCAATCCTTTCTTTGCATATCCGCATATAGGACTGCAGCAGCACAGGTACACAGGATTTTATATGTGGCAAGAGAGCCACATAGAGTGTGAAAACACTCTACCACCTGAATTTTGTAGACGTTTAGCTCAGACAGATGGTGTCAACTAATACTGAGTCCAAAAGTTTCCAGAAGAGTAAAGGTGTTCCAGGAGTGTAAATTGTTTGGGTCTGTGTAAGCATTGTAGATATATGTATATATATTTACTCTTTTGTTTTTGTAGGCACATACAAGCTAACAGGGAAGGCATGAGTAAATGGCTCTGCAGAGCCCCCCCTCTGTGCATTTTGCAGTTCCACTGAAAGCCAGGGAAAATTATGGGGTGGATTTTAAGCTTTATTTGTCTTTAGAACAGGGGGAACAGAGCTGTTGTGAATCAGATAACTCAGATGAAAAACTGAGACTGACAGACACAACAAGGACAGGCTCTTGTCCTGATGATGAATCAATTTCACAGTGTATTTTAAAGCCCTCAGAAAGCCCACCATAAACCTGGCACCTTGGTGCCACATACCTGCCTCCTGTTTATTATCAAACTCTTTCTGCTTGGTTTGGTTAATAGCCAGCTGCTGGAGCAGGGAGCAGCAGCCTCCTCTCCCTTGCACTGCCTCAGGGTAAGCTCTGACCACAGAGGTTCTTCTGAGAGTACCTGTGGAGAACACAAGGATGAGTCTGAGACACCAGGAAAAGATGTTTTAAATTTTGTGGGGTTTTTTACTACTTCTGCTTGAAGTTGCATAATTATTTGACATAAATATTTGTGACTTGCTCCTGGCTGGCAATCCAGGAAGTGCAGGGTCTGTGCAGTCCTTTCTAGGAACAGTCTGGGATTTGCAGAGGGCAGATACAAGGGGAATGACAGTTGTGAGCTCCTCTGTAGGTGCAGGCATTACCAGTCCAGTCACTGAGTTATTTTTACATAATGTATTGAACTATATGGCACTCAGAAGCTCTCTTAGAAAGCAGTGACATGTTGCTGTGCATTGAGAGCGTGGGCACTGGGTGGTGTGACCACTCAAAAGTGGGGCTGAATGAGTTCTGTAGGTGTTTAAAGAGAGAAATGCTGACCACCTGGTTTCTATCACATTGTGGGTAATCTGGCAGGCAGACCTAGAAAGTAATTTCAGCAGACATGAAAGTCACTCTGCCTTGGGGACACAGCTACCCTGTCTAAATTATCCTCTCCCATGAACATGGCCTTGGACTTTGTCTCATTGTGAGTTTAATCTGGCTGTCAGACAGTGAAAAGAACGTTTTACCCTCTGTGTACTCAAGTGTGAAGCCACATCATCTTCAATTGAATTACTCCCAGATCAGAAAGAAGAAGGAGGTGAGCTATTGCTCTGCTAAGGACAGCTTGCTGCAATAGAAGAATCTTTGCAGCTTACAGAGTATTCTGCCTTTGCACATAGGGCCCTAGACCAGGAAAATCCTGTGTGGGGGAAGGAGGCAAGTTGAGGCATGGCTGTACTATTCAAAAAAGCATGGTGCAAACTTGTCTGAGTTACTGCTGACTTGAGAGACATCTTCTGTACACTTTAAAGCAGCACTGTGAAGAGGTGCTAGCTAGATGTCTGTCAGAAGGATGGCAAATGCCTAGCACTGAACCTAGACTGCAGTGAGACCTGTCTCTGTCAGGCAGGAGATGGATCAAGGTGGATAATGAATGGGAACAGCACCAGGCAATGTGTAGAATCACCGGGCAGCCAGATAGCTAGCAGATTTATCAGCGTGGAGCGCGCACATAATGCCACATGCAGGCATGCTATACTGAAAACAAGTTAGTAGCCGTGTTTCCTGGAAAGTGTCTCATATCAGAGGCCATGATGTGTTTAAAATAGGGATAAGTAGCCTTTGCCTGATTTGTCTGGATCTTTTTCAGGAATACTTCAGCACCCAGGCTGCAGTCAGCTGGCCTGACCCTACAGCAGCTCACACAGAATTTGGGCTTGTGCAAAGCTTTTGACTTACTGAGATGTGCCAGTTTTCCCTGAGATCTAGACTGAGCATCAGAGAGAAAGAGCTTAGTGTAAAACCAAAGGATGGCATGTCCTTGTGATCAGGCAGGAGTCTGCTAGGGAAATACACTCACTGCAAGATAAGGAATTCTTTGCCAAGGGATTCCTTGCTCTTTACTATTAGAGATGGTGGGTCTTAATGGGAAAACGTTTTAGCAAAGGGGTTTTCTAGAACATGCTGCTTGTTTGTTTTTCTTTCTCTACACCAATGATATATTACTTACCTTTGCAGGTGAAAGAATTTAGAAAATCCACAAACAATATGTAACTGCTTTGCCCAATATCTGGTTCTGAGAATCTGTTGATTTAAGTGGTATTTTAAAAGCTTGTTGCAGCTGCTCTAGAATGACAGGGTACAGGCAAATTCCTGTTTGGGTTTTCTAAGAGACAAAGTGATTTTAAATTGCCGCTTACCTCTGTCTGTTTCCTTCCCTTAATTCACTGTTCTGTACCTGCAAGAAACAGAGAAAGTGGGTTTATTTTCAAGGCAAGGTATAATGAATGATTCTGAGAGACTTAATTAAGTGTTCCTTAAACAGCTGATTTAATGCCACAGCATGAATCCAGAGAAGGTGATGATAACTGAGGGCTTCTTTTGCTTTAGTCTCTGTCAGCATGCTCATGTCAAATATAATGGTTGTTCACAGGATCATATGGTGAGAGAAGAAACTAGGAGTCTCACTCCAAAGCAGTGTGCTGTTTTGGATCTGGCACTGGATACGATCAAAGTAAGTTATTCCATTTCTGTCTCGATCATTCCCTTGCTCCATCCCCAAATACTGTTTGGGAGAATAGTGCCTGTGCCAGTTCAAGAGATGTCTGGAATCTGTTGCTGCAGTTACAGAGATAAAGACTCTAAGTGAGTGATACTGCCGTGTTTGTGTACACCTGAGTAGACTCAGGTGATTGGTGTACTTGGAGCCAGCATATTTATATAGTGCTTTGGAAGAAGAAAGCCATGAGTCACAGGTATCAGTTGGTCTAAGAGATGGGTTTCCAGTACAGAAGCTGTTTTGTGAATTTCTTCCAGCTCTTTTCCATCCACACACACAAGTAGCATGTAAATGTTGGTTACTGGTTGCAGTTTGTCCTCATTTTCTGCCTGTTCTTTTTACTCTTAGCAATATTTCCATGCTGGTGGAAACGGACTGAAGAAAACCTTCTTGGAGAAGAGTCCAGACCTGCAGTCACTTAGATATGCACTCTCTCTCTACACTCAGACCACAGACACTCTCATCAAAACCTTTGTCCAGACTCAGACAGCTCAGGGTAAGGCTCTTTTGTGTTGTTGGCAAAGCTGAATGGAGCTGTCTGCTCTGTTTGTAATTACTCTGTCTTGTACTGCCAGTTTGTAGAGTGCTTTTGGCAGTAACATTTCTGGAAGCGTGACAGTTCAGAGCTTTTGAAACTGGGAAGAAGTGGAGGAGAAGGGGGTTATTTCCCACTCAACTACATTTTGAGAGAGCAGAAATTTATGAAGCATAGGACCTGGAGTGTTTTTGGTCCTTTTTTCTGCAATCCTCACTTAACAGTCACGTTTCATGAATTAATGTGGGTGGGTGACTGAAGTGGAATTTGAAGTTACTGTACTGAGGCTTACACAGTGGTGTGAGAAACCATTTCAGCAAGACACCACCACAGAAACTAGTTGGTGCTTGTGTCACAGGCCTTCTGCCAGCAGCCCATGTAGTCCTGATTGACAGGGAAGTGATGAGTCACAGAGCTACATGCTGCCTGTAAATGGAAAAGTCTCGTAGGAGAGCAACCAAAGCACTGTTTTTCTGCAGCCAGTACAGGATGTGTGTGAGCTGGATGATTACAAATCACCAGAGCATACTAATAAGCTGCTGGGTTGGGTCACTGGAGTTCTTTGTTAGCTCTCTGGGAAGCCATGAGAATGGTGCTATTTCATTGACCTGCAAGGGGGAAACAGTTAATTGTCTCTATGTTTCATTGCTTTCATGTCAACATCTTGAGATAGTTGTACAGAATGATTTGGTCCCATCAGTAAGGGACTGTTAGTGGCTGCCTGACTGAATCTCACTGATTTCAAGAAGAGAGGACAGAATGCATCAAAGTTTAGATCAAAACTGAAACTGGTATTTCGGGTTTTCAGGGTGTTTAAATACAGGTTTTGGCATTGGACTACTACATCCCAGAGCAAAATCGTTCAGCTCCGTGGGAGTGTCTTTTTACCATCTTTTTGCTTGGGGTACTTTTTCCTTCAGTCCTTCCAAGCATATGAGACCTGTTGACCCCACAAACTGTACTAACTATGTCAGCATACTGTCACACTGATCCCTACATCAAGGGGAAAGCACTTCCAAGACAACACAGTTTTCCCTCATGTGCAAATGACTCTTTGATACTGGCATTCCTCAACCAGTGGAGAAATCACTGAGAGTTCTTGAGCAAAACAAGGTTTGTTTCTAAAGTTAAAAATTTGAGTTCAGTTATGAGGGACTGAATCATCCCTGCCTTTAGCAGCACAATGTATTCTTGCTTAGGCTGATACATACTGCATTAAAACATTGAACTTAAGAGTCAGTACCAGCATTTAAGAGAGTGGTCCTCTAGCTGTGTCCCAGCAGAGCAACGATGACATCCAGTGGCCAGACATGTCAAAGACTGCCACATCCATGGGAGACTCCAGGAACTTGGCTGTTGCTGTTAGAGCTGCACTTTTTAACAGGGAACTTGTGTGAGCATGTATTTTCAATCTCTGCTGCTCTGCGGTGAATGTTTCCCATTATATATCCAGACCATGAATTAAAGCTAGGTTTGTATGTGGATCCTATTGTGTTGTTGTGATGAGCCAAGATATAAGGACATGTGCAGCACTGCTGTTCTACACTCCATCCTACAGTCAGGAGTGTTTAAAATTAGAGGAAGAAGTTGCTCCATTGAAGCTGAAAAGTGGCAAATTCAAAGCTGGTATAAGACAGCAGCTTTATGCAATGTATTATTTGACTGTAAAACTCGACTGAGGGTGAGTTTATCAGATACACAAAGATAACTGAACATGAGCTAAGAGCAACAGGAATATGCAGGGTTGCCACAGAACTGTGTAGGGTTGTAAGGTTGGTTTTGTTTATTTGCTTTGTTTTGTTTTGTTTTAAACTTAGAAAGGGTGAAGCTCTAGCTTTAGGACACAAGATGCACTCATTGCAAGGTCATCCACTGTATCTCACAGCTGACTGATGACATTTTTTTGTGGCTGATCTGAGCCACTTTAGAAGACAGATAATGGGTCTGAGCCAGTCCAGATCATCATCTTCTACATTAGTAGCTTGGGAGTTTTGGACCCTGTTTAGGGAACAGAAGACTTCAGACCTTATTTCTATAGGGTCAATGATGGAATGTGTCTGAGAAAGGCATGACTTGCTCCTGGGATTGGGGCTGCACACACTTCCTTAGTAACCCCAGTTAGCAGATTGGTTTGGAGATCTGCACGTGGGTTTGAGGAACAGTATTTACACTGACATGTGCTTACCAGAGCTCTCTGACAGATGAGACTTGAATAAGTCAAGCTTTTCACAACCCTATGGGGGGCTGCATGTGGAAATATTTAAATGCTGACTGTTTGCCTCTCTTACTTCACTGATCAGTGGTGCATCTTCCAGTTTGTGAGGTAGCTATTGCCCTGCCTTCCTTACTGAGCAGGATTCTATGCTGTTAAATGTTTGCTTTGCAAAGTTGGGTCAGGGCTTGTGGTTCAGTTATGCCAGCACACATTCTATTCTTGATTTAAGCCAGACAATCCCTTACTTGCAGACAACCTTGCTCTCCAAAGCCTGTGTTGGTGTTGAAGATCTAAAAGGATATTTTGTCTATTAAGAGCAAGAATATTTGTCTTTTATTTGTTTAAGTGACAACACTAATTGGATTGTAATTCATACTCTTCTCTCTCTGTCCTGCACACTTCTTGCCTTTTGAATTCATGAATCAGTGCATGATGGGAAAGGTATTAGATTTACCGCTAATGAGGACGTTCTTCCAGATAAGGGTATGTTCAAGACTAATGTTGTTACCCTAACAACATTACCCAACTGCCTTGCTTTTGAAGTCATCCTGCCCATGCTCAGAAACCTTTTCCAAAGAGACCCATTCCCCATAGCTCCCTGTAGAAGTGAACCTTCACCAAATGCTTGCATCCCACAGAGTCACAGATTGCGCTATCTAGAAGTCTGTACCTTGCCTGAGAGCCTGTTCCCAAGCTTGAGATTTATTAATGGGATATGAAAGCTGCCTTGAAAATGGACTGTTTTCTGAGAGATGCTGTGGATTTGTACCCCTACCCTTTACCATGGGCTGTGTAATGCTGTTTCAAATCTTGGACTTGCATGCATATAGTCTGCTGAGACAGGCTACTGTAACACATGGTCATGTCTGATATGCACTCAAGGTTGTGGCCAAGCTTAAACCATCTGGCTTGAAGAGGGGGGTAACTAAAAGTCTGGGCGCTCAGGAGAGCCCTAAAACATTAAGTCGTCTTGTGTTTCATCTCTCAATTTATTTTTTGCTGTCCAAAGTCTTTCTGTTATCATAGATGAAATAACATCTATAACCCATTGCACGAGCTCAGTTCTGCTGTTTCACCTTCCAGTATTGCAATACCTATGAGACTTCCATGCCAAGATTTAAATCAGTTTGTCACTGAATGTGCAAGCATGTGTATGCATGCAGTTGTACAAGCTCAGAATGTTTTTCACTGGCCATCTACAAGGAGTTTTTTTGTCTCTGAGCATTTCAGTTAATAGAACAAGATTTTTGTATGAAAAGACAAGAATGAAGGTAGAAAAAATACCTATATTTTTACTCCCTCAGAGGTAATGCAGTGATTCCACTGTCAGTGCTCTGAAGCATCGGTGTCTCCCTTATAACCTCTTAATTGCATCTTTAGTGTAATTAAGACTTGAGTGTTTGACAGCTTATATTTCTGCAGATGTAGCCTGATAAAGTTGTTATATACTGTTGATAACCTTGTCTGTTCACATGGAAAATGCCAAGCAGTGTGACAGACCCGCACTATCAGGTGGGTCAGGTCACTAATTAAGTTTTCCAATTTCAAAGCTCTGTGCTTATATGCAGAAAAGAAGGAGCACTGCCCTTCTAAGCAGGGAGAAAACAGTGCAGATGTTAGTCTAGAGGCTGTTGTGCTCAGGTCAAGAATGAGAATCTACCCTAAGATAATAATTTGAGGTTCTGTTTTGGTTGCTCAGATCTTTGTATATTAATGTGACTTTCACTGCCTACAGTTCCATGCCATGTAATTCTCTTCAGAGAATTACACAGATTAGCTCTCAACTTTTTTGTTTTTTAAATGACTGGTTTTGCTGCCTGCAGGATGTTCTTGTGAAAGGTGACTTGTTAGATCTATCTAATCTAAATGTTTATTTAATTTTATCCTTCAAGCTCCTTCAGTTTCAAACGCACCAATTCTTTCACTTAATAATATATCTCAGCCTCAAAATTGACACGGTAACATTGCTGTTAGTAGGTACTCAGTTACCCTGTAGGTATCCCAGTTACAACATCATTGCTAACCTGAGCTCAGATGCTTATCAAAGAGAAAGCAAAATCAATCACACTATCTTATTAGCAAAGCTTAATTTTCATTTTGCAAAGCCATCTTCTGTAATTTATGTGACACCTTGACTTTCCTGCACAGAAAAAAATGTCATTTCCACATTTTGCTTGATAATTATGATGAAAAGTTAAAAGGTTGAAAACATTGTGATGCACAAATTGTAAGGTTCATGAAGTCTTCTCCCTCTGTTACAACATGCTATCATTTCCTCTGTGAAGCTACATCTTGTTTTCTCCCTGGCTTATTGATGAAGGGAAATAAATATGCAGGTTGTGAATGCTTCCCTCTCATCTCTTTTGACGCACAACAGGGAAGGGGTTCTTATTAACCTCCAAGGGGAAGTTGACGGGCAGTCAGGGCAACAACTTGTAGCTGATGTACAACATGGAAGAAGGTTCCTGGAAGGTGAAACTGCACAATGGCTCCATATAAATCTCTAACATCTTTGTCTTTTTTTCCTAAACTTCCTCTCTGGTGTATTTTTTTTTTGTTTTGTTGTTTTTTTTCATCCTCCCTTCTCCTCTGAGTGGACAGGAATGCCAATGCCCACCACTGGAATGCCTGCATGTACACGCAATAGCTTGGTGGTTACCTCTGAAAAATCCTTGCTGTCTATGCGGGTCCTTTGTTGAGCTTTAGGTCTTTTAAATTCTGTTAAAATTCTTACTAGTATTCTCAACAGGATGTGATCTTCACGGGAGAGTGCAAAAAATGCTAGTGTTTATGCGTGTTGGGCATGCAAGCCTGATGTTATCTTGCATTAATGTTACCTTATCAGTGTAGACTGAAAAGCTGACTATGGAGGGTGTGCTGTGAAAACACTTGCTGAGGCCATAAACCAGAGACGGGTGCCCATAAACATTAATCCATGTGTGCACAGGAGGTATCAATTTTCTTCTAACAGGCTCTGGTGTGGATGATCCTGTGGGGGAAGTGTCTATACAGATCGACCTGTATACCCACCCTGGAACTGGTGAACACAAGGTCACAGTGAAAGGTATGGCAAGGCGTGTGTTGCTGCTCAGGCTCTGTGATTGTACTGGGGAAAATCTCCAGTTGGCAGTCGTTGTGTTTCTGTGTTAGCTCGTGGGATGTGAATCCAGGATTGTTTTCTCTGTTTTATATCAGGAACATGGAGAGAAACAGCAAATGAACTTGTCCAGCCAGTGACAGCCCAATGTACTGTCCTGTTGTTTATTGGCAGTGATGTATGAAGTAAACGAAAATCAGATGACGCCTGTCACCAGGCGCCACAGTTTAGCCTGTGCTGCAGAGAGCAGGGCAGAAGGACAGGGTGATGTTGCGAAACTGCTCAGTGTAAACCAGGAGATCACAGAGACAGTAAGAGTTCAGAAACTCTTCCTCCCCATCCTGAAGGCCATGTTGGTCCCTGAAGAGCTGCTCTGAAAATAACCCAAGCAGTGATTCATCCCAGGCTTCCTCTTCCTCCTTCATCTCCTTTGCTTGGATACAGCATATTTAACTACTTTAGTTTCCTTTAAAGATTTATATAAATAGCTCTTCAGGCCTCTATTCTAGTTAAATCTACCCTGCAGTGTAAAACCTGATTTTCAGAGCCATTTCCCATGCTTCAGTCTGTTCCCTGCAGTGACCTGAGTGAATGAGAGTTAAAGAGCTAATAATTCTGGGCTCTGGGACCACTCACAGCTTATGGGCTTTTTCTTACCTTCAGTCACGTTTTCCTTTTCAACACAGACTTTGCTATCCTCTGCCAAAATGCCCTCCATCCCCCTTTTTATCTCATTCCATATGTAATGTAGACCTAAGCACTGAACTGGCAGGGCAGCCTGCCCAGAGCTGTGGGAATACCTGTTTTTTTGGACTAGTTTCTTGACTATGCATATGGCACAAGCTAAGTGCTGTCCCAAGCATTTAATGCCCATCACAGAACTTAAATTAGAGCAAAAAACTATATCTTTATATTACAAAAAAAGTCCTGCCCACGCGTGTCGGGGGCACAGTTGTGCCTGGAGTTGGGCTTTGTCCTCTGAAACAAGAAATTAGAATCAGACTGGAAGGGTGTCCAGAGCAATGAGAAAAAATGAGTATTTACTGTAAACCAGGTTGTGACTCTCTTTTCCAGTTGTGGCAGCCAATGACCTGAAGTGGCAGACATCTGGCATGTTCCGTCCGTTTGTGGAAATCACTATGATTGGGCCCCAACAGAGTGACAAGAAGAGGAAGTTCACAACCAAGTCAAAGAGCAACAACTGGGCTCCCAAATACAATGAAACCTTTCACTTGTAAGTGTGAAAAATAGCTTGGGGATCTGACACAGCAAGCGCAGGTGCAGGAGGCAGAGAAGGTTTTCCAGAGTCTACAGACAGCCTGCTTGGGGCCCAGAAAAGTACATGAACCAGTAGCTTGGCCAGTCTTCAACGTCTTGGCAGGAAATGTGGGTAGGATGCTGAGGTCTGTTTTGTATCAGCAGCATCTTCTGTCTGCCTTCTGAAGCGCGCTGCATGATCTATGAACCTACTTTACTGTGCTCCATCATTTTAATGAACTTTTATTGGTAAGAGTTGAGGCTAAAAGTTCATTTTATCTTTTTAGTTCTTTTAATATTAATGTGTGGTTTTATCCCAACTTGACCTGTGGGACATGCTTTCTGAACTTGTTTCCAGGGAACAAGTGCTTCAGCCCTTGGAACTGGTAGTGAGTTGCACTGCTAAAATTGCAGTACCTCTCAACACGGAGTATTGAACTCTGCTTATTTGACTTTCATTATTACAAAGGCATCTTCATTCTTGGAAGGCTCAACAAAGGGAGCTACAGAGTAATGCTCACCCAGCTGTACATTAAGAATGAGAGGAAAAGAGATGAACAGCAGAAGACTGTAAACATCTCAGGGGAGAGGGACCATACATATAATTATTATTTGACAGGCTTCATCTAAGAGAAGGGATTTTTGTTGCCCTTTTAAAATTATTCTTTTAATTTTAGAAACCCCAGAGGGGCTTGGGGATGTATTTTTATTAGTTTTTGCTTTAATGGAAGGCTCTCAATTTTTAACAAAGACTTCATCTAATTAAAATATTAATTATTGAAATGAAGCAACCCTTAAGAGAAGCAAAAATGCTTAAAGTCATCTGAGTTGAAAATCTATTAGCATGGCTTTAATGTTCTCTGCTCCTCTTATTTCACAGTTTAACACACACACATGCAAAGGCGACTTGATAGGGGTTGTTCATTTCTTCATTTTAACTAGACAGGTTGTCTGTATCAGCTGTAAACCAACAAAAATGCCCATATGCATTCTGGTTTTTACTTCGCCGTCTCCGACCAGGGTTTTCTGTAGAAGGGAGTCTTCTGTGGCTCATCAAAGCACTCTAGCCAGCTGCTGACACCTTCATTTTGCAGAGTAATTTATACATTATGAGAAACTGTAAGTAAACTTATGTGTGTTTTTCAGCATATTGGGAAATGAAGACGGTCCTGATGCTTATGAGCTCCAAGTCTGTGTGAAAGACTACTGCTTTGCTCGGGAGGACCGGGTACTAGGGATAGCAGTGATGCAGCTGAGAGACATAGCAGACAAAGGAAGCTGTGCTTGCTGGTGCCCCCTGGGGCGCAGGATTCACATGGATGAGACTGGACTTACAATCCTGAGGATTCTCTCTCAAAGAACCAATGATGAAGTTGCCAGAGAATTTGTGAAGTTGAAATCTGAGTCCCGCTCCACAGAGGAAGGCACCTGAGCTGAGCTGTGTAGTATTCCCTTTTCTCTTCTGCCTTGTGCCAATATGTGCAAGTGTTCAACAATTCTCTTTTATTAATCACAAAAGTTTCTTTCTTGTTGTCTTTGTCAGCTCTGATAGCGCACGTGTGCTGTACAGGAAACAAACCCATCAGTCTGATGTGAGTTATTTATTTTTTAGTAGCTGGGTTAAGGCACCATAGAGAATGAGACAGTCTCTTGTTATTTAAGATGTGAATTCTGCTTTGTATATATAAATTATTTTATATTGGAGGCTGGGTATGCTGGGTTTTGTTGATATGCAGCACTGTGATTTTATCCTCTGAAGTTGGCAGATGTTGAAAAGGTTCTACATAATCACACTACGATACAAACACACAGGTGGGTGGAAATTGGGAGAAGAAGAAGGATTTGGGACTTTGGCAAATCACAGTTATCTCTCATTGAATTTGTGTACTGTGGAGCTGCCAGTGGGTGTTCTGGCACAGATTATACCAATGTCCCGATACGATACGCAGACACCTCAACGTCTGCTTACAAAATAAGTTGCAAATTGCTCTGAAGATGCACACCAGATGCATATGACCATGGATGTGCTGCTGTGAGCATGGGTGAGATCAGTTGGACAAGGGCAGAGGGGCCTAAGATCTCACAGCCAAAAGCTGCAAAGACAATACATCAGGAGCAGACTGCAGCTGCCCTGCTATTGTAATTAGACTGTGTGTCTCGGAGAATATAAATCCCCATGTGCTGCTGGGAAATCTGCATCACCACGGGGTTGCTGTAAGCTGCTAACTCCGCAAGTCACACTTTGGCTACCATGACCGACACGGTAAGGAAGGGAACAACATTAGAGCCATGACAAAGAGCATGGCTGCTATATACTTTTTCCACTTAGATACTCTTTCATTAGTTATTTGACATAGGATTGGATAATTTAATACTTGCAGGCTTTCTGTAGCATTTTGTTATCCTGTAGTAGCTGAGACCATTCCTCACTATGAACCCAGAAATGATGGTTTGCTTGGGAGAGATCAACACGTCTCCTCTCTGCAAGCACTCAGTCTGGAGTGCTGGTCAAAGAGCAGCAGGTCCATTTGGTTTATCTTGAAGTCTCTGTTGGCCGTGCTGCAGCTGATCTGTGCTGTTTGTCATTAATCTGTGTTTTAACTATACCATTGAAAATATTTTTGCACTGTCTTAAAGAAGCATCCTTGTTTTGTTTTCTTGCAAAACAAAACACTGTCCTGAGCAAAGTGATAGCAGGGAGGTCAGAATTTCTGACTGAAAATTCAGAAGCAGGAAGGTCTGGAGAAGCGATTACACCTGAGGTATGTTTGTTAGAGGGTTCCTATTTTGGGGATACTTTGGGGATATATTTTTGCTATTTCCAGCTGCCCTTGTGCTCTGGAAAGGGCAGCTGGAACAAGCCAGTCCTTGCCCATGAAGTACTGTAATACTGTCAATAAATATAAGGACTGTGTATTGAATGACCTTTTTTTCTTTTTTTTTTTCTATTTTCTCTGACACTTGTACAGCTGTGTAACTCCTATTTCATGGGCCTGCTCAAAGAGCTCTGAGATGGCACATCTGCTTTGTTGTTGTCCATGGTGTGTTATAATAGTGCTCTTCAAAACTCCATGCTATTTGTCATGATTTTGAATCATTGTACGTGCCATTGTTATGAGAACTGTTAGTAGTCTTTAATAAAGTCTTTTAGCAGCATTTGGAGTCATCTGTTGAAATGAAATCGTAATTGGGTTTGCTAAATCACACAGGGTGGTATTGCTACTACATCTTTGCAAATTACTCTTGTTTAGTACATAGGTATTTCTGTGGTGCTGTAGATGCCCAGCAAAAGGTCTGAGTCAGAAAATTCCACCTCCTCCATGGTCACTTCACCTTTGACAGCTTTCCCTGAAGTTCTTGGCTTTTGGTAACATGCTGAGACACTGCAGAAAATCATAAAGAATAACTTACTTTCTTTTCTTCTCCTATCTGGCCTTAAGTCAAGTTCCCTCTGCACTCAAATAGCCTCCTGAAGGTGTTGAGTGGAAAGACTCAGGCAGGCAGTAGGATATCTGTAAAGTAGGATACTTTACAGATAGCATGTGAAGAAAAATAATTATGTGTCAAACTTGATTTGTGGCTTGCCATCTGATACGAGCATTAATACTCTGTAAATGGTATTGACAAGAGATGAGAGAATAAACCTTCTTGATGTCAAGTAAACTACTCCCCTTCCTCATTTTTTGGGGCTGCTGCCAATTTCCAGCAGTCAGTCTCAAATAACTCAGAGGCTCGTATTCCATGATAGTGCAGGTCTCTGAACTTCTGTGACCTGAGACAGCTTTTTTTCCTTAGGTAACATGCTCAGCAACACAGTTCCTCGGGAGGCAGTCCTGGTGGGCAAAGGAGTCCAGGGAGGCTGAACACTCTTCAAGAAGGAAATCTCCATCCATATCGGATGTGGGGGTAAACAGTGACAAAGGATGAGGAAAAGCCTGAGGTACCTGATGCCTTCTTTGCCTCTAACAATAAGACCAGGGTACCCAGCACCCTGAGCTGAAAGACAGGGATGGGGAGCAGAATGAAGCCCCCAAAATCCAAAGGGAAATGTTCAGTGACCTGCTACACCACGTAGATACATACAAGCTATGGGGCTGGATGGGGTCCACTTCTAGGGTATTGAGGGAGCTGGTGGAAGTGCTCCATCATGTATCAGCAGCCCTGGCTAACTGGGGAGGTCCCAGTTGAGTGGAGGTTAGCAGATGACACCAAGCTGGGTGGCAGTGTTGATCTGCTGAAGGATAGGAAGGCTCTGCAGAGGGGTCTGGACAGGCTGGATCCATGGGCTGGGGCCAATGGGTTGAGGTTCAACGAGACAAAGTGCTGGGCCTTGTACTTGGGGCACAACAACCCCATGCAACGCTCCAGGCTTGTGGAAGAGTGGCTGGAAAGGTGCTCATGGAAAAGGACCTGGGGGTGCTGATTGATGGAGCTGAACATGAGCAGCTTGTGCCCAGGCAGCCAAGAAGCCAACAGCATCCTGGCCTGTACCAGCAATAGTGTGGCAGCAGGGCCAGGACAGTGATCATCCCCCTGCACTGGGCACTGATGAGGCTGCACCTTGAATCCTGTGTTCAGTTCTGGGCCCCTCACTACAAGAGAGACATTGAGGTGCTGGAGTGGGGCCGGAGAAGGGAAAAGGAGCTGGTGAAGGGCCTGGAGCACAAGTGATGAAACGGCTGAGGGACCTGGGGGTGTTTAGTCTGGGGGAAAAGAGAAGGCTCAAGGGGGACCTTATCTCTCTCTACAACTGCCTGAAAAGAGGTTGTAGTGAGGTGGGGTTGGTCTCTTATCGCAGGTAACAAGTGATGGGACAAGAGAAAACGTCCTCAAGCTGTGCTGGAGGGTGGTTAGGTTGGATATTAGGAAGAATTTCTTCACAGAGAGGGTGCTCAGGCATTGGAACAGGCTGCCCAGGGCAGTGTTGGAATCACCATCCCTGGAAGTATTTCAAGACATGTAGATGTGGCACTTAGGGACAGGGTTTAGTGGTGGCTTTGGCACTGGTTGGACTCCATGATCCTAAAGACCTTTCCAACCTAAATTATTCTAATGCAAGTAACTCAGCTAACTCCCAGTCCAGCTCGTAGTTGCATTTCTGTTTCTGGGCTCCTCACAGGGAAGTTACTGAGTTTGGTGGCATATCCCATGTGATGTGTTGCTTAAAGCACAGCTCTAAAGCCCCACTTCGGTACCAAGCTATATGATACACAGGTTTCTAATTCATCGGTATGCGTGCTTGTCATCACTTCAGTGAACACTGGAGTAGAGAGAAACCAGTGAAAAGCTGTTCACAGTGCAAGCACCGTCTGTAACCGTGGGCAAGAGGCCTGGGCAGGGCAGGAGGTCTGGCTGTTATTAGCAAAGCCAGGAACCCAAGGCTCCTGAGTATGCTGCTTATCCCCCAGTCTAGTGCTTCTTCTGCAAATGAAGTTTGTGAACTTCTTAATCACGGGATCAATTTCCGTAAGCATTGCTTAGTAACATGTTTGTTTACCAGCGTCTGCCCATCTTGCTTCATTTTTTGGGTTTTACACTCATTGTGATGCCTTCAGACTTTGTTTTTGGCCTGAAAAATCTTTCCGTCTCAAGCTACAAATGCTCAGGCTGTTTCTTGTACCTGTGACAACACTGTGTTGTGCGTATGACTATCTTCACCCTATCTGAACACTCCTCAAAAGGACAGCTGGATATAGGATGTACACTGGGTGTATCACATGTACATATACATATATAATAATAAATATATTAAGTAAAAAATAGAATACTCAGTTTATACATACATATATATATGTTGATGTACCTGCGGTGGGAATGGCTATCCTGAATTGGAAAAGGTTGTTCTAAGAACATGGTGTTAAAGATGGCAAGCAAGGAATGGTGTAAGTGGCCTGCTGTGCCATCCAGGAGTCATCTGCATCCAGGAGAGAGGTGAGAGATGAGCTGGATGCTGGAGGCAGGTGGGTGAATTCTGCTGATGGTCTGTCCTTGCCCGGGGGTTTCTGCAGGGTTGGTGGAAACAGCACGACCGTCTCGTGCAAATCTTGCCTCCAAGAGTCATTACACGAAGCTGTCCAGAGAAGAGTAAGAACAAGGTAAACTAAGGATGCTTCCTGCTGATGCACTTTGTGGTGCTGGTAATTTTAGCTTGGAGAATGTTCCTGAATCCATGGTTTTCTCTTCAGTAAGTCCGAAGTTATCCTTCTCCTATCCCACCTTGAGTGCCTTTTCAGGGTGGATTCAGAAGATTTTGCATGAAGACCTGTCTTCTTTTGTCTTGAACCTGGTTGCAACTAATTTAATTTGTTGCCCTCCATTCTTCTTTTCTTTCTTGGGCAATAGGGATTCTGTAGAACTCTATAATATTCCACCTTAGGCACTGCTTTTTGAGGCTGCAGTGTCCAAATTTATTCAGTTGTGCCAGACCTTTGATAATCTTTGCCCTCCTTTGAGCCTTTTCCATTTATATGGATGATTTCTGAGCTCTGAGGACCAGAACAGCATCCAGCATTCAAAATGAGGACCAGCTTCAAGGAGGAAGCCTTTTGAAGGTAGCAGTTTGCTCCTTCAAGAGTAATGCTCAGCAGTTCAGTAGAAGTTTTCAGGCTGCTAGCGGAAGACACTGGGAGGATGCTGGAGGAGCAGCCATAATGCCAGACCTCTCAGCTAACAGGGAGACCTTTTGTAGGAACCCTAAAAGGGAAGTTCAAGAGGTTACTGCAACTTGGAAAGTCGGGGTTCTCAGAGAAAACCCAAGAAAGAACAAAAAGCCACCTGCTGAGATTGGATGGATGGTAGAAAGCTGCTAACAATTCTTTTATTTCTGGCCTTTATTTGAAAACATGAGGTAATTTTCTAAAAATGGAGAGAAAGAAAGCAAGCCTGGCTTCGAACTGAACAGACCTTTTAATCTTTGGGGAATCCCCTTCTAAAGCTGTGACCAACTCAAGGATGTGGCACCATCAGAAAAATGCATTGGAGAAGTGAGATAGCAGGACTCAAAAGGGTTGACGTGTGCTTGTAAGCACGTTATGGAGAGACAAGGGCCTTATGGTAAAGGATGGGTGTGTGATGGGAGAGAGCAGAGACCCAAGGGCAGAGGTGGGGAGGGTGGTTTATCTGTCTTCCTGGAAGAAATTAGCAAACTGATGCATGGAGACAGTAAGGTGAGAAGGGGAATGGGAGGGTTTGGGGAGTGACTGGGACAGGCTGAGAAGGCAGCTGGGCATGGGATTCAGTTTCCCTGCTTCTGAGCAGCATCAGAGAGGGAGGAGGCAGTGGAGAAGGACAGGTTCCTCATGTCATTTCCTCCAGACACGTCATCTTCCTCCTTTTCTGCTCTTATGCTCTCGCTTCCTGCCCTCTAGGGAAAACTCTGGACACAGGCCTGTGAATGTGTGCAATATGGCTAAGGAAGCTGGCAGTATTCTCTAGTGGCTGGTGGAATATACACCATGGGTTTTAGCCCTCCATAGGGGTTGTGCTATAGGTCCACAAATTCCTCTTTTATACCAGGAGTGTGGACACTGGAGGATTTTTTTCAGGACCTCAGTTGTCTGAGACTTAAAACTTCCCTTCTCGGTTATTGCCTATGATTTATGGTCAATACAGAAATCCTTGTCCTTGCAGCACGTTGTTGTTTATCCTAATGAAGGCTCTTCAGTAGCTCCTGATGCTTGGATAACACTGTCGTCTCCACTAATTTTTGTTCTGCTAAACCAGACGAGAGCTAGGTGTCTGCTCATAAGCAGTGCTTTCCCATTTCCAGTCATATGTGCATAATATCGTTATTTATGCTCTAATATGCAGCCTTTCTAGCATCACTTTTCACTAGCTTTAAGAAGAACTCATTACCAGTCCCTGCCTTTCTGGGTGCCTCATCTTTCTCAGCCCATTTCCATTATGTCACCTCATAGTCCTTTCACTAACCCCCGTCTCCTCCCACTTCAACAAGGGTCTCCATCTGATGTTATATGCAATGGGGTTTTTTGAGTCCACCTCAATCTGAGCTGCCAGATTTGTCCCTAGATTTAGGTTTGGCCACCAGCAACCTGTGACAAGCTTCAGCTGATTCCAAAATGAAACTGAATGCCTCTTACTTCCATGCATTTAGTCCTGCCAGCAGCCACTGCTCCCAGGTCATCTCAGAAGCAATGAATCCAGCTTCCAGAAAAGTACACCTTTGACAGGATAGAGCTGGGGCATCATTTATGAGCTAGGGTCAAGTTGGACCTGCACATTCTAGCCTTGCCAAACCCATGGTGACTTTTGTCTCACTTTCCATCCTTCCTTTTATTATTCTTTCCTTTGAGACTTCTCCTAAAGCCTTACCTGCCATTCACACAGCTTAACAGTTGGAAGTCACTTGGATATGTAATACATTTTGCACATTGTTCTGCAGCCACGTAACCGTCACCTCCATAGATGAATTGACCCTTGCAGCCAAGTCTTCAGTTCCACATTTTGGAGCTATCAGAAATGTAGCATGGAAGTGGTCCTTGGGGTCAGAGGAGTTTGAGCCCTCTGAACTTTCTGTGACCATACCGCAGTACTTTCTGTTCCCATGTTTTCTGTTTCAGGCTGTTTTTTTTTTCTCTGTGGGCAGTCTCTTTGAGGTCAAGTTCTTTTGTGGGATATTTTTTACCTGCCTGTCCTTGCCCACCTTCT